CCTGACACTGGCGGTCTGGGAGGCCCCTCTATCCACACTAGTCAGAGGTCTGAGACTGATGGTCTGGGAGGCCCCTCCATCCACACTAGTCAGAATAGGCCCCTGACACTGGCGGTCTAGCCGAGGCCCCCTACCCTCACTAGTCAGAGGAGGCCCCTCTATCCTCAGTAGTCAGAAGAGGCCCCTGAGACTGATGGTCTGGGAGGTCTATCCATCTACACTGTAGTCAGAGGAGGCCCCTGAAACTGATGACCTGAGAGGCCCTTATAATCACACCAGGCAGAAGAGGCCCATGAGACTGATGGACTGAGAGGCCCTTCTATTCATACTGGCTACAGGAGACCCCCAAAACTTTCGGTCTGGGAGGTCCCTCAATCCGGCACCAGTCAGAAGAGTCCCCTGAGACTGATGGCCAGGGAAGCCCTTATATTCACACCAGGCAGAGGAGGCTCCTGAGACTGATGGTATGAGAGGCCCTCATATTCACACCAGTCAGAAGAGGCCCCCGAGGCTGATGGCTGTGAGGCCCTTCTGCTCATATAACTGGCCACTGGAGGCCCCTGAAACCGGTAGTCTGGGAGGGCCCTCTATCCACACTAGTCAGAAGAGGCCCCTGAGACCGATGGTCTGAGAGGCTCTTATATTCATAATGGCCACAAGAGGCCCCTGAGACTGATAGTCAGTGAAGTCCACTCCTAATGAATCTGAGGGGGCCCTCTATCCACATTTACACTTTTCTAGAGAGGCCCCTGGTGGTCTGAGAGACCCTTTTATTTATACTGTCCACAGGAGCCCCCTGAGATTAATGGTCTGAGCGGCTCTTCTATTTATACTAACCAGAGGAGGTCCCTAGGACTGATGGTCTAACAGGCCCTTCTAATTTATGCTAGCCAGAGGAGGCCCATGATACTGATGGTCTGAGAGGCCCTTCTATTCAAACTAGGCAGATGAGGCCCCTGAGAATGATAGTCCGAAGAGCCATGCGGCGGCAACTGGCCGTGGCCATATTTCGGCTCGATAGGGCCCCACAGAGCTCATGAGAGCACCTCAAGGGCTCCTAAGTAGACACGCTTATCCCCATAAGGGTGCCACGCCGGCTTCTGAAGGCTCCTTGTAGGCATCTAAGGGCCCTTTCCGGCCTCTAACGGCTCCACCCGCCTGTGATGGCTCCACACCAGTGTTTATGAGCGCCACACAGCGGCGCCTTTGAGGGTCATACTAGTGTCTCTTAGGGCCATATATCGGTGGCTCTGGGGGCCCCACACCGGCGCCTCTGTGGGCCATCACACCTGTGCATCTCAAGGCTCTATAGGTACATCTGAAGGACCCACACCGACACCTCTGAGGGCCCCACACCAGTATCTCGGAGCTCTGAAGGCCCCACACTGGTGAAAAAGCATGATCATGTATCGCACCTGCTTGAGGAGCTGGGTTGACTCAGCGCGGAGAAGCTGGCATCTTATCACACTCTCTGTCTCGTACAAAAGGTGCGCAATCACGGCGAGCCCCAAGCTTTAGCCGAGGGCTTTGTTACTGTCGCAAATAGGCGCGAAGCCTTGGGGACACTGACCAGGACGACTCGCCAGGACCGCGACTTCTATGTGCCCCGGTCACGTACCGAAATGGGGAAGAGGCGCTTCTGTTGTCGGCTGTCGCGGTCCTGCTCTCTTCAACCCACTACCATCGATACTAACTGAGCTTCCTGTGACCGTGTTCCCTCACCACCTCAAACGTTACCTATCTAAACCACCGGACTAATGTTTACTTTATACCGTACTGTGACGTTTTATCGATTTGACCCATTCACCTGTGTGCGTGTAAGTTCCATCCCATACTTTTTATGACTTTGTATCTTTGACGAGAGGTGGTAATAGCCACAAGCACTGTGGATCGCCTTAATAAATGTCTATGTCTATGTCTATGTCTATGACTCTGAGGACTCACCGGCTCCTGAGAGCACCATGTTGATGTCTAACGGCTCCACAAGGCCACTGAAGGCACCACACAAGCTCTCACTGAGCTCTAATGTCCATGTACGGGCCTCTGAGGGATTTAAGCCAGCGCATTCATAGCTCCACACCAGCAATTGTAAGGGCTTCACACTGAAGTATCTGAGGGTTCCACACCGGTGTCTCTAAGGGCCACATACCGGCATCTCTGAGGGCCCCATACCGGCGTCTCCGAGGGTCCACATCTGGCGGGCACCCATCAGCGACTGAAGGTCCCACACTGTCGACTCCGAGAGCCCCATCTGCGTCTGGGAGCACCATGCCGTCTCCTCTAAGAACCACAGCGGCTCCTCCGTACGAAAGATGGGCGTCTACATGCCAAAGGGGAGCGGTTCTGAGACAGTAGGGCACCTACGTGCAATAGAGGGGCGCCTATGAAGCCCATAGGGGCGCCTCAATGCGAAAGAGGGGCGTCTCTGAGGCCTACATATATGGGCGTCCACATGCAATAGAGGTCTGCAAATGCAATTGATCAATGCCATGGGGGTGCATTCATAAGAAACAGGGGCGCCGGCATGGCAAAGAGAGGCGCCTTCAAGTGTCCATAAAAGAGAGACGCCTATGATAAGCGCACATTGTATGCGACAACGGGGCGACTGTGGGACATATAGGGATGTCTCTGATGACTGTACAGTGTACATAGGGCGCTTATATGCTAAAGAGGGCGCCTATGAGGAAGACATTTGTGTAAGGGTTTTCAGGGGTCATGCGCCGCTTGCGGCAAATAGATTCTAAAAAATCGGAGAGAGAACAAGTTTAAAAAATGGTGCGGACTTTCCGCACTGTTCGCTTAAGCGGTTACGCCCCTGGGCACATCTGCCCGATCTCAGAAGCTAGATTTAGAGGTCATACTTGAAAGCAGCCAGCAGGACGAGGCAAAAGTTGGAGGCCCCTGAAAATAGGAGGCCCCCTGGAAAAGGAGGCCCCTTGACAGGGTGGCCCACCCACTTTTCATGACGTTCCTACGCCCGTGCTTGGGAGCGATTGCCGTGGTTCAATGTTTTGCGTCGAAATCGGACGAACATGACATCACTCTGACGTCATTTCCGGCCGACCTATGGTAGCTACGAAGTTCAAATTTTAACACAAGGTGTCAAATTGATGCAGCCGAAGGTACTGAAAGTTTGGCGTCGATTCGTCAAGCGGTTTGGAAGTTATTGCAGAAAAACGGGAGGGGGGCTATAAATAGCCCCCCCCCAGTGGGGCGCGGGTTAAGTGAAATAAATCAGGGGGTTGATTTTTCCCCCATTGACTTAGGTAGGTAGGTACCTTGTATACCTAATGGGGACTGGGGAGGTCAAGAATTTGACCTGGCCTTATGTCATCAATATCAAAATTCCGAGACATAAAAATTATAGCTATCAATGACCTCATTACATCCTACGACTTTCAAAGGCCTCCGTCATCTACTGTAGCTCTACACGGTGACAAAGTTGCAAAAAAGTGACTTGAGGCTGGGTCGTTCGAAGTGACCTGGTGACCTGACCTTCAGACCAACGACCGAAAACTGACAGATGCGCGCGGTCTTCAAGCTTCAAACGGCCGATCTCGTTTTTGATTGGCTGGTTGATACCCTTCCAAATATTATCTTCACGAGGGTAGATAAACAAGATCCACACGCGTGAAACGAACACGAGTCACGATAACCAGGAGGAAAGAGTTTTCGTCAGGCTCAGGATTGCGAGAGTAATATTGATATTTACATGAAAATAATACTATTTGCTGGCGAATAACTTCAATTTAACCACGTACCGTTACCATGCACATAATGGTAGCAGCGAGGTAACCTTTCAATATAAGTAGGACGGCACACTCTTATTGCGGGTTTGATAAAAATGAACCCTCGAGGACGTAAAAAAGTTTTGAGTGGCACTAGCTGGGACCAAATCTGATTGTCATTCTCTTTATGCGACTATGAGTGGAATGGAAAACACTTAAATGAAACATTTCAGGGACACTAGATGGCGTGCGGCGATAAAAAGGATGTGTAGTGTACCATTACTGACAGAATATGCCCCTATATCAGGTGACAGAATCTGCCCCGTGTATGGGGCAGTTTCTGTCAGATGACGAGTCGACACATAACCGACTCTAGCGTCGAAACCAATGGAGATGCAACCGGAACACCAATGGGGCATTTGAAGCTCTTGCTGTATAGGGAATAGGTATAGGTAGGTACCAGGAAAGTATCAAACACGAGCTGTTGAAAGTGTGGGCGCCAGACCCAATTTTGTAAAAAGTGGCTTTATGTGCCCCACTCTCCCCTATTGCAGCCCTTTTGACATTGTGCTCTCCCCAATTTCGCTTACCAAGTTTTCTTATAGGGAAGTGGGTCGGAACTAGGAAAGGGTCGCTAATTAGGCACCTTACCCTATTTGCGCATGGTTGTACCGTGTCGAACGACATGTTGCCGCGTTTTAGGTCTCCGCTGCGTCAAGTTTAAAAACCAGAATGAGGTTATTTGAGCCGCGATCTTGAGCGGATATGAACACTGTGGACTGTGGAGTGTTCGTGTTGGCTTACTCGGCTCAGTTTCGCGCCAAATTGGTATCCGGTCGAACGTAGTGAGTTTAGTGCCCTGAAGTGAACCACCAGCTTTGCTTATACCTAGTAGATTTATTACCTACGGGCTTTTTGCTGTATATACTTGCAAACGAGTCTTGCGCTTACGAGCCAATGCTGTTCGGATCCCGTTCTGTACTGCAGTGTTGAGCATGCTCAACAAGACCATAAGGGAGCCGCCGGTGCTGTGTTTGTGAATGTGAGCTCAGCGGTCCGTAGGTATATGCAGCAGCCGCCGGGAGTCCGGCGCGGGCTGCCGGGGCGTCGGACACGGGCCGAGCTGCTGGCTGTGAGGCTGGTCGGGGCGTCGGACACGGGCCGAGCTCCTGGCTGTGAGGCTGGTCGGGGCGTCGGACACGGGCCGAGCTGCCATATGGCTGTGAGGCTGGTCGGGGCGGGAGGCAGCCGCCGAGCTGACGGTGGTCCATCAGTTCAGCGCGTGGGCCGGACACCGGTCGGAGGCGACAGTCGGCTGGGCGTCGGCGGCGGCGGCCGGCGCTGCGGATAGCGGCCGTGACCGGTGCGGCCGCCAGAGGGCCGGCGCGGCCGCCCCCGCCGCCGTATAAAACGGCCGGCGGCTGGCCACTCGGCTCCTGAGACCGGCCGCGCCCGTCCGCACGCCTGTCCGTCCGTCCGGCACACCGCAGCACGCCACCCGCACCGTCGGAGTCAGCTCAGGTAAGTGAGCCGCTGAAAGGGGCGTTCACTGTACAGTGTACGGTGGGCTCTGTGGCACCTGGGGAGGGTGTCGGTGCGACACACACGGCAGGGAAGTACAGGACTTGTACTCGTAGTCGTACGATGCCCAGAAAAGTGAGCGGTGCGCCGGGGACGAGGTCAGGCTATCCGTTTGGTGAGGTAACTCGGTATTCGAAGGTCAGGTCACGGGGCAGCTGGGGCTGGACCGTGCGACCGAGACGGCACCGTTGGCAGGCCGGTGCAATCGTCCAGTTATGCAATACCGGGCCACGATTTTAAAACGGTTCAGATCATTGTTCTTGATAACAATAGCGAGCTAGACCAGCGAGGGTCAGAGCTGAGACTGAACTGATGTCAGAGTTCTGAATTGGGATCAGAAGTTCGCTGTGTATTCAGCGGAGCACGCCGAGCCATGCTGCGGGCTGCCGGCAGCGGCCGGCTCCCTATATGGGGCCGCTCCGTGATGTAATTACACCCCCCCCCCCCGCAGCCGCAGACTGCGGGGGGGGGGGCGCAGTCTGCGCAGTCTGTCAGTCAGCCGCTGACTGACTGACAGCCGAAGCGCAGGTGACCGCCGAGCCAGCAGCAATTGTCTGAGCTCAAACACCAGCCGACTCTTGGTCTTGATTGCTAATACTAAGCAGTGCGATGCCGGTAAGGTAGGCCTATCTACAATGCCCTTACTATAGCTATACTATAGTCCTACTTACCTATACTAGAGTCCTATAGCTACACCTACCTGGTACTTATACCTACCTACATGGCCAGTCATGGCATTTGTTAGCACGCTGTGTATGGTGCATCTGCTCTGAAAACGTTCATTTTTCCCCATACCGTACCTAATGAATTAGAACTTGGTAAGTACACAGGTCCCATGCAAGGCCGTTTGAGAATCCCAAAAAATATGTTTCTTGTAAAAGAGATTCGGTTTGAGATTTAGCAATTTAGCAAAGAGAGATTTAGCAATGCATCACACGTTATTTTCGATTTAAACATTGATAACACATTCATGACATGAAGATGTTTCTTATAAAAACGATTCGGTTAGATTTGGTAAAATTTGGTGCATTCGCCAGGCAACCCGTCGTAAAAACGGCTAATGTCTTCATATCATGAATTTCATGACATGAATAACGAACTTTTACTGCCTTGTTTAATATCTATCAGATAAAGTTTGAGCAGTAAGAAGGCATGTAGTTCCTAAAAAATGTCAGAAATAATTATATTAAATTAATATTTATCTTACGTCCAGAATTCTGGACGTAAGATAAGTGAGGTGTTAACACCTCACTTGTGGAACCAAAAAACGGAGTACAAGCAGATTCCTGCGTGTTCTTGAAAATGGCTATCAATAATTCTTTGAAAAGTCGAGCATTGGACAAATAAGGACGTTTTACCCGCACTGGGTGCTTTGCCCCACTCTACCTACATATTTATTGCTTCTGCGTCCAAGCATGCGTGATGCATTACCTGTGACGCATTAGGTATATGAGTGGGGCATAACGCCCAGTCTTGAACGTTCTATCTACTTTTGATATTCTTGCAATAATCATTTAGTGTCCCTATCTCCGTTTCTTCTTCTTTCGCCAGTTCTATAATGGACCATGGTGTTTTGATTCAGTCGCGATCATGTGTCACTTAGGCTAAAAGCTGTTCAGGCACAGCGTGACAGACCCTCCTGCCTCTCTAAATGCAGCCATGCTTATCACGCCAGCGCCGGGACTCGTAAATAGACCGTGTTGCAGCTGCGTCAGCTGGCGGTGGCCGTCTGCACCGGTCGGCGGGCCCATGGCCTTCGCATAAGTTCGTTCTGAGCCTCCGCGCGCGCGTCACTCCCAGCTCAGGGCCAGAGCTGCGAGCACGTCACGTCGCTCCCTACTCCGTGTCAGATGACGTCACGGAGGCAGCGTCGGAGCTTGGAGACTGCACCGGAGAGTGGGGAGGTATCCTCCGGCCCTCCGGATAGTGGGGAGGTATTCCCGGTCCTTCGGGGAGTGGGGAGGTAGTCCCGGCCATCCGGAGAGTGGGGGTATCCTCGCCCCCCCCCCCCGGAGAGTGGGGAGGTATTCCCGCCCTTCGCCCATCGGAGAGTCAGTGTGACGTAGGGCGCGGAGGGAGAGACGCAGTCGGACGATCCGACGAGACGAAATCGTCAGCGTCGATGCCGGGGGCAGAGTATCGGTATACCGGGCCGGTCCGCCGACCGACGAATACTGGTGTCGGCGGCCGAGGCCAGCCCATGACGTATATGACCTGGGGGGGGGGGGGGGAAGGGGGGCACGAGAGCAGGGAATCGGTCCCACAGTGGAGAGACCTCCCCAGTCCGGAGCTTGGAAGTAGGAGGCATTCTCGTCTCCTGCTGCCTCAGACCTCCGTGCGTCAGCCACCCACCCAATCAGCCTTCACCTCGACAGGATCCCCTGGAACCAATCTGACGGGATCCCCTGGAACCAGTCGGCGGTCTGACGGGATCCCATGGAACCAGGTGGAGGGTCTGTCACAGCGGCTGTCCTCGCAGGAATTGCTTGGCAACATTTATTTAAATATCAGAAGTCAGAACAGCGGCCAGTAGGCTATATCGTTAGTTATCTAAAATGCCCGACAAATGGCACGTTATGCCACCTACCAGCTGTTGTGGCCCGAACGGCTGTGGTTGAGCCGTTCAAGTTGATAGCGATTTTCCGTGACCCTTAAGTCGAACCGAATCACAGGGAATTACATACAGGATTACAGTGGTGGTATCTGCCAATAGGGGGAGGAAGGGGAGAGACTATAGAGAGATTCGAGAGGATACGTCTTTGATTGATAGCCATAAGCAGGTACCATCCGGGTTCGGCCCGGGACAGGTGGGATTACGACGTCATTCATACTCATATCGACGAGTACCTAAACTGCACTCTACATGCAGTCATACATACAGCTATCTCCGTTGAGACTAAAACGTTTTGATTTACCTGAGTGGAGGGTACCTATCAGGAATTGTTATTAACAGCCGATCATTGCACAAGGTATAGATGGATTGGTAAGGTTAAGGTTCAAATGTCAAGAGGTGGCAGCATCCCGACCCATAAAGTGCGAGCTTAACGATCGCCAGATGTATCGGCTTTCAACCTATCGGGGATCGATTCGAGATGGCGCACTAGGAAGCTAGTAAGACATAGTGTCACGGTGGCCAAGTGACACTTGAAGGTAGTGACACTAAGCGGCATTTTACACCAATCGGCTAGTGGCTCAGCGCGAACCGAAATCGCCTAGTGAGACTTGAAATCAAGTGGCACTAGGGCCTTAGTGCGCCAACTGGCGGTTGGTAGAACCCCTCGCTGTTTCGACCAAAATAAAGCTAATATTTTGCACCAAAAAACTAGCGAAAGTACCGTTACAATTGGCGCAGCGAATGGTAGGTGCCTACTTACCTAATTTCAAGGTCTTATATTTGCATTTGTTTTGCTTGCATTTTACCACGCACAAAAAGTGGTAAGTACATCGGCAGTTAAAAGTTTACAGCACAGTTAACTACCTACATATTTAGAACATCAAATGACCAAACCCGTAGTTTCGTTATGAAACCGTTTGGGAGTACCTAGATCGCAACCGAGATGGACGTAAAACTACGTTGCAAAGTTTGCGCCCCTTTATGAAATCGGCCGCTGAACGAGCCGGACTGGGGGGGGGAGGGGGTGACGGAGCGATCGAGCGGCACCGTCGCCCCCGCGCCGGTGTTTTGTAACGAGCTCTGTCGCAAGTTGGCCCGGCCGCGCGACCATGGACCGATCCCGGTCCTGCTCGGCTGCACGTGCGCCGCGCGAGCCCTGGCCAGCCGTGTCGGGCGCACTGGACCGGGCCGGGGCTGGGGCCGGGGGCGGGGACTCGGCACTCGGCCGAGCGGTGAGCCGTCAGCCGGCTGTTAGGTGGCCCGTAGACGAGTAACTTTTCAATTCGCTCCACCGTGACAACACTACTGGGCTTGCAGCGCTGTCGGAACATCGGCCAGCTCATCCTAATCCTGCAGCTGCTGTCACTCCGTGTGATCGGTGCTCGGGCCGACAGCGGATGGGAGGTGAGATGGACACATCTCCACGAGTGTGTGTGTGTGTGTTTTTAGCGGAGCGGAGCCCGTCCTCCGCGGAAGGGCGAGGCGGACGGTGCCGATTTCCTTGGGCGGCAGCCGGCCGACCCTGGCCAGTCGATACGGCTGTGACCTTCACAGTAGGTACACGCAGACCGGCCGGGCCGCGCCCTCCGCCACCCGAACCGGTCTCAGCTGGCCGCTCCCGCCAGACAGCTCGCCGCGCCTGCGGCCGTATCCACACCTATAGGAAACTCAGAAAACACTGCGCTGAAACGCACTGGCTGCGATGCGCCTATTCCAATTATTTATCCCAGGCGTGGTGTGCACAGTGCAGAGTCCGGCATACGTTTTGATATCTGTTTAAAACCCACGCACATCCCAAGCGATCATTAAGCCAGTAATTGTTCCGCCTTGAATGGGCGGAGGGCGGCGCGGCGGCGGGACGGAGGGGGAGGGGAGGGGAAGGCCGGCTCGGCAAGGTCGGCCGGGCGGTCGGCGCCGGCCGCCGCGCCGCGCCGGTCCGTTAGCTCCTCCCTGCCCCCGCCGCGGCCCCCTCCCTGGCGCGTGGACACGCTGCCCAATCCTCCTCCCGGCCGACGGGTGACTTCCACGGGGGGGGGGGGGGCACCTGGGCGGCCGCCGCGGCAGGCACAGTGGCCCGCGGACGGCAGCCGCGGCAGGCACAGCGGCCCGCGGCTCTGCGTCTGGTCGTATATGACTGAGGCCTCCGATGACGGCAGCCAGCATCGTCACCACTGCTTACCAATGGCCTAGTACCATTTGGGAGCAGCCATGGTCAGGCAGTTTGTAAGCACTTTGAAGAGAACCATACATAAATGCACATGAACTAGGTAAAAGAAAAAGAACAGCTCTGGGAGAAAGCAAACGAGTGTTGCAGTTTGTATCGACTGCAGCTATACATGGTGCACTGCCCACTGCCCACTGCCCAGTGCCAAGCCAAGTAGTGCGCATTCGATTGGTGAGTCCACTGTGTGGAACACAAAAAGTAGCTTTCCATCTGCTTATATGGAGTCTGAATTTCCATGCCTCCAGTCCGCGTCATGGGCGCAGAGCCAGACAAAGAACATTGAGATAACCCTATTCATTCACGGCAGTTGGCGTGGACGGCTTGTAAGTACGCCCAGCATGACCAAACACCACGATCTGATGCATTTAAATACATGTAAGACACGGCAGGTCTGTCGCGGCCGAGGGGACACATCCGCATTCCTGAGCAGTGAGCACTGATTTAGTGCATCAGCGCCGAGCCCACCGCGCTGCATTTGCCGCGTTTGAAACGCAATGAACTATTGGCCGTCGCTAGTTTTGGTCCAGCCAAATGGCCGGCGGCACTGCTATCGAGTGTGATCGACCGGCGCGGCCACTGTGTGTCGGGTCTCCATGGTGTCCGGTGCGCCGGCCGGCGCGGTACTGCGCGGCCCCGGTCCGCCGCCAGCCGCGCCCAGAGGCCGCTGTGGTGACTGGTGAGTGGCCAGCCGTTGTGTACCGGAGGGGGAGGCCCGTTCCACCTGACCGCGGCGGCTCGGGGCTGCGCGCGGTGGAGGGCTCCCTAGTCCCGGGGAGGGCTCCCTGCACCCAGCCCCAGTGCCTCTCAGTCGTCCAGACAGCCAGTGTCGCCCGAACGGGGCAGGTGAGAGATAAGTGCCAAGCCAGGTAGTGCGCATTCGAGTGTGTCATCAGGCGCGGCGCACTTCTCTCGGCACTGCGACACTCCGAGGCCCTGTCCGTCCGTATAGGTACTCTGTAATCCTTGCGTGCGCCCTCATTCAGTCGTGAAGCCTCGGAGGCCAGCACTGTTTCACTGCGTGTCTGCTCTGCCCGCAGATATATCTGCCGCCATGGACATGGAGAGTGTGCGCAGTCGGCTAAACAGCGCCGGTCAGCAGCACCTGCTGGCCCACTGGGACAGACTGAGCGCCGAGCAGCAGCAGCAGCTCTACGACGACATTCAGCGGTGAGCGGACACGGCACAGGCGACACAGGCGGCATACCGCAGCCCACGGCACAGACGGCACATATCCCCAGCCCACGGCACAGACGGCACGCCGCAGACCACGGCACACCCCAGCCCACGGCACAGAGCACAGACGGCACACCGCGGACCACGGCACAGAGCACAGACGGCAGACCACAGCCCACTGCACAGACGGCACGCCGCAGACCACGGCACACCAGACCACAGCGCAGACGGCACAGACGGCACGCCGCAGACCACGGCACAGACGGCACACCGCAGACCACGGCACGCCGCAGACCACAGCACAGACGGCACATATCCCCAGCCCACGGCACACCCCAGCCCACAGCACAGACGGCACAGACGGCACATATCCCCAGCCCACGGCACAGACGGCACACCGCGGACCACGGCACAGACGGCGGTCCTCCCAGCCGCACGAAACAAACCGCTCCTGCAGCCGTCCGCTGCCAACTGTTTATCGTTCTACGTGGTGCACTCCAGAAGTTTTGAGACCTTTTCAGTAGAGACAGTTGTCTGTTTCAGAGAAGCATGAAACTTGTATAACTCTCGAAATGGAACCTCCCGAGTCCAATGCACCTGCTTTAGCGCTCCTGTCACTGCCTGAAGGCCTGCTGATAGACCTTCAAAGTGAAGGTGCCCAGGGCCTCTGTCACAGCCTCACTCATCTCCTCCACATCCTCCGAAAGGCGGCCCCTGAGCTTCCCTGTCAGTCTGGGGGACATCCAGAAGTCAAGGGGCCAGATCAGGACTGTAGGAAGGGCTACGGACGGTTTTGACGCACATCTGTGTCATATAGTTCGTCTCCATGGTGGACTTGTGGGCGTGTGCGCTGTCCTGGTGCAGGAGCCCCTGGCCACAGTTGAAGAGTTCCGACCTCTTACGGCGAAATCTCTTTCTGAACTCCCTCAGAACCTTCACGAATCATTCCTTGTTGACCATCTGGCCGTGTAAGGGATCCAGGTTATGAAGTTTTTGCCTTTTTGTTCTAAGTAAGGAATTAATTTGAGCTTCCCAGTGGACCTGCGCTGTCTGTCTTTATTGGGTCTGAAGTTGTAAATGTGTTTTCATTGGACCTTCTGTCTCTTGGTCTCATGATGGTAAAAATACATCCAGCTTTCGTCTCAAGTCACTTGAGAGTCAATTTGCTATGTTTCGCGGGCATTTTTGCCAAGCTATCCCAAAATTTTATTGCACAGCGACCCTCCAAGTTGTCTTCACATGAACAACCTGACTGTGCAATACACTGGTCACTGTGACAAGCCGCGTGCGACTTGCCATGTTCAGGGTGACACCGTTGCCGTCTTTTGCAACGTAGAAAAACAAAATTACGCAAGTACGCTTATAACAACTGTGGTAAGGGCTTGTGAGAACAACAAGTATCTAGCACTGTTCATATGGATTTTACGAGGCCAGTCTCAAAACTTCTGGAGTGGACGACGTACTTCTACATATAATCGTGTTTAAAGAATACATATGCTCCAAAATTCTCCCTGGACGATGCTCATTGCGCCTGGCTCGTGTAAACACGCTGCCACACTGTTCAAGGGCAGCTCTCCATGTTCAGCAGTGTATGTGTGTGTGTGCGTGTGTACGTGTGTGTCTGTGTAGTGTGTGGCGCCACGCCTCACCCCCGTTTGCCCGGGCCCGTACAGTCTGGACCTGGACGAGGTATGCGGCTACTTCCGGCGCACCATGGAGGCGCACAGCCAGGAGCAGGACAAGCTGGACGATCGGCTGCAGCCCGTCCACCCGGAGGACTTTGGCTCGGCCGTGCGCTCCTCCCAGGAGCAGCTCCGCCAGTTCGAGAACATCGGTTAGTCACCGGGCGGGGTCGGTCACCTGGGTCAGTCACCCCCCCCCCCCAGTCACCAATCCGCAGCGAGAGGCGGCAACTCTCTCTCTCTCTCTCTCTCTCTCTCTCTCTCTCTCTCTCTCTCTCTCTCTCTCTCCTCTCTCTCTCTCTCTCTCTCTCTCTCTCTCCTCTCTCTCCCCTCTCCTCTCTCTATCTCTCCCTCTCTCCTGTTGTTTACCACGTTTTTCCTGTTTACGCGCTGTCGGTCCCTCCCCTCCATCACCCGTCCCAGCAGTGTCCCGCGCCCGGCTCATCTCCCGGCGGCCGAGGGCCGTGGGTGTTTTCCGTGTGCCGTCCGTCTACCTGTCGGCCCCTGCCGTCCCTGCGCCCGGCGGCGGTGCCAGTCGCCGGCGCACACCCGCCAGCACCAGTGGCCTTGGGACGTCCCCTGTCAGCCCAGCCCGCTCGCACCGATTCTCGTGAGCCGTGAGGGAGCGATCTTGTCATCTGGTTTTCCAGCTCGGCTGCAGTGGGGTCTGGTCACCGCCGCGGACTACCTTATGGCCAAACGATATCTTCAACATAACAATACCTGATAGGCATTCTCTCATAAATTGGCGAAGAGTTTCTCATTTCATGGCTTCTTCACTCTTTTTTTTAGCCCAAGGACGTTAAATATATATTAAACCGCGAGTAGGTAGAACAAATCTTATAAACGTCGAGCCGCTGGGCGAGACGTTTAAAAGATTTTTCAACCTACGAGCGGTTTAATAATTTATCCTGTACCGCCGATATGTTTCGGGCGCTTAAAGTTAAAAAAAATACATTTTATACACGACATAACACAGACTAGACGAAATGTCTACTAGACGTTTAACAGTTGGTTTGGTTAATTTTCTAGACGTTTAACAAATCAGTTAAACGACATCTGTTAATTTTTTTCTTTGCACGTAAAGCAATTGTAAACACTGTCTACGGAGCGCGATAATATATAGTAAACCGCGAGTAGGTAAGAACAAATATGCGAGACGTTTAAAAGATTTTTCTACCTACGAGCGGTTTATTAATTTTATCCCGTGCCGCCGATATCTTTCGGGCGGTTCACGGTAAAAAATACCACGACATATTTCAAACTAGACGAAATGTCTGCTAGACATTAACAGTTTGTTAATCGTCTACATAGACGTTTAATAAATCAGTTACATGACATCTGATAATTTTCTCTCTTTGCATGTGAAGCAATTGTAAACACTGTCTACGGTGCGGGATAAACTGAAATTATTGAATTCACGCACACTTTTACAATAAAGCAAATTTCAAACATAAGCATAGGTAGGTGCAGATTTTCTTCAAATTCATAGTAGCTGCAGAAACGTGCAGGGTTAAATGTTATTTTACTGAGAGTTTAACATATTTAGGTACTTAAATACCAATTGCTACAGGGAGGTTTCTCTAGTACCTACCTAGTGCTTGACCGATTCAAAAAGGGTAGGTATCTATTTTGAAATAATTTTATCTATTACAACTCAGCTGCCTTGCCTGATAGGTATCTGTTTCAACTGCCTAATCAGTAATCACTATATCGGCACCACTGTAAGCTGACTGAAACCAGATAGTTTCTGACAGGCCTAAGGCCCTATGCGTCATCGGCGTGCGGCTCCATTCAGCTGTCGGAGTCACTGTGATCCATCGGCCGCCGCCGGGCGACTAATTGCTCGTGTGTAGTCTTCACAGCGCCGCGTAACGATACGAGGGCTCAGGGCGCCCCGGGTCACGTACTTGACCGGGAGCCCACGATCAATTAGGCTGACTGCTGAGAGCGCAAGATAAGCCCTATCGTGCTAATGGACGTGTACTTGAGAGGGGAGCGGGTACTTCGGACCCGGACGCACGCTCTCGTACCGGCCGTACCTACTATTCGGTCGGTATGTGTACCGGAACACGCACTCGTCACGGTGAGACGCCGCCATATAATTGGCCCACGCCAGGAACATTCCGTCATGGGCAAAACGACTCTACACATAACACCCATATGGCGCAAAGGCAGCTTGAAAGTGACTGCTTTTGCGAGTCGTATTTTATCTATTTTTAGATCAGTAAATACCCACATCCTAATAAATACCGATAGGTAGATGACGCAATTTTACACATATCTGAGCCCGCGAAGACCTCGGCGGGAGGGTTAGCCCCTGGTAACGCTCAGCAGTGGAGTGCAGCAACTATTAGGAGCGTTTGCTCTGAGCTGCGGGCGGGCCAACGTGCTCGGCCGGCGCGGCCACTTGCTGTTGTGATGCTGTGACCGCCGCACCAGGCCGCCCCCTCCCCCGCCGCCCCGCCTCGCCCCCTGGCCCCAGCAGCCGCCTGGCAGCTTAACGGTTGCAGACGAGACCGGCCCTATTTAGAAAGTAGAAGTCCTTGAGAGAAGTGACGGCGGCAATACCGACATTGGCGCGCCCTGCAATGTACAGCTATCTGCGGTCCGCGTGAGGTCTCTGGACGAGATCCGCCCCCCCCCCCCCCCCCGGGAGGTGTTGGTGCGTTACGTCCAATGCACGCGCCGTACCCCGTGCCACTGCGCGACAGCACCGCGGGGTGCCAGCCACTGAGCTGTGAGGCTGACAGGGTGTGGGGTCACTTCGAAAGGCCGCCTCAGCTCTGCACACATCACCTGATGTGCATTAATGACGCCTTTCGACGCCGACCGGTTTCTGCGGCTGTGGCGGCAATGTCGCCGGCTGGCGGGGTGGTGGCGGCGTCCAGCCCCTTCAGAGGGCGTTCAGCCCCTCACAGCTGCAGTCACAGGACGAGCAGCCAGACTGTCCACCAGCCAGCGGCGCAGCGCCCAGTTCCGGCTGAACATGGGACAAAGTCCCGCAATATCGCGATTGACAACCGCTTGTGATCGAAATGCTTATAAATAAAAATAACTGCTGATTATAAATTAAAAAGTTTGTCTGCTAGGTATAGCCGAAATAACCCGACATTCACCCAGGCTCACTCGCGGACAACAGTAAAAAGCGGGCGAGTTAAAATTATCATCCCGAGATGGCGCTAGTGCCCAGCGCCTGCTACTATGCTGTACCGCATGGCCCATTCATTGGGCCGGGAGAGTGCGGCCGGACCGGTACCCATTGCGACGGTACGGTGTGCGCCAGTGCCGCTGCTAGCTGCCGACAGGCCGCTCTGCTCAGTAGCCAGACGCCACTGCTTTCACCCGTTCCCCACAAAAACGCCGGCACGGCTCAGCAGAGCGGCTGTCACCACCGCCTCGGCGCGGCCCTGCCACCGACAGCCCGCTGTCATAGCAAACACTCGGCCCCGGGTCCGGGTCCGGCCGGAAGGGTCCGCAGCGCGCCGCGCCGCGCCCTGTGCGTCGCGGCCCGGCCGCCGCCGAGCGGCTGCACAGTTTGTTTGTCGACTGACCGCCGCTGGGTCATGGGTGTGGTGTCAGACGGACCTTAGACCGTGTCCGGCGTATCAGACCGTACCTCTCCGGTCAGCGGCCACTCACTGTTCCGCCTGCCCTCCCCCTGCCGCCGCGTGCGTCACATTTCCGGCCAGCGTTCATCTGGCGCGGTGGCGGCCACTCAGATAGTGAGTACTGAGTAGTGATCCCCCTCGGCGGTGCACGGGCCGCACTTCGATCCGTGACCGCGCTCTTCTGGCGCGCCGCTGCGACTGAGAGATGAGCCGATCGGGGCTCTGATGGCGCATTGTGTCGCGGTCAAGTCTCCACTTATACACTGACACGTTCCCAGGCGCACTCACATTCCACTTGATGACGCAGTTAATTGTTGAACCTCACGTATCGCACATAATATGGTCTCTGGCATTTGGGGCACTTAACTTACAAGCTGATTCCTTTAATAAAGTTGGGTAGGCAATGCGGGGAAAACCTCAGCGGCTGCTCCAACACAAATGTCAGTCAGTCAGTTTGTCGTCAGTTTGCGCTCTCCATCTGCAAAGCAGCCATCCAGCCTCAGTGTTTAGGCCGCTATTCGCCCCGTAGCCGTTGTCGATCTACAGGCATCATCGACCCATGTCCATGCTGCATCCAACTCCTGACCCGCGCCGTCCGAGACAGACCAGGGTTCGTTCTTAAAGGAAAAGGGCCACCTTCGTGAAATATGAAGATATCGTTGTTTTTCATTTTGACATTATTATTTTTCATTTTCTTTTTAAAACTGGTGCCAGAAGTGCACAATTCGCGAAAAAGTATTTAAAACTATTTAACATATTGGTACTATGTTGATACTCTCTACGGCACCTACTGTATGATGGCATAGCGATGACGTCACACTCAAGCCAATCAGCGTTCAGAAGACAGACTCGTCGGATTGTGTCAGATAAGCTGATTGGTTAAAGCTGAGCTGGTTGGAGCTGATTGGTAAAAAACCAGCCTTGCCGCGGGTGGCTGTATTGTCGGATAAGAACGCATTCCTGGGATAAGGACGCATTCTTGGCGTATTTTCTTTTAAAATTGCCGATAACTACGAATGGAGGCCGAAATCGGCCGTAAGGAGATAAACAGACAGGTTTTCGGACACGGGCTACAAGATGGCTATCTCAGTTTCAATCCCCATGTTAAAGGTGGCCCTTTTCCTTTAACCGTCTGCTCTGACACTGTAACCCTCTGTGCTCGGACCTTCTCACTCACCCGCCGTCCTTAGAATCTGGGAATCGTCCTCAGAGGTCTGCTACTGTTACTGAAACACCTCCCTCCGACAGGTCTGCAGAGGCGGTCCTGCAACTGACCCCCCCCCCCCGCCCCTCTGATAGGTCTGCAGAGGCGGTCCCTGACTGACCCTCCCCGCCCCTCCGACAGTCTGCAGAGGCGGTCCTGAGTCCCTGACCCCCCCCTCTGACAGGTCTGCAGAGGCGGTCCCTGACTGCCCCCGCCCCTCTGACAGGTCTGGAGGCCGTCCCCAGTCTGACCCTCCCTCTGACAGGTCTGCAGAGGCGGTCCTGACTGACTGACCCCTCCCTCTGACAGGTCTGGAGGCGGTCCTGACTGACCCCCCCCCCCCGCCCCTCTGACAGGTCTGGAGGCGGTCTCGCGCGGCGAGGTGGGCGTGCTGCTGCTGGCCGGCGGTCAGGGCACTCGGCTGGGCGTCAACTACCCCAAGGGCATGTACGACGTGGGCCTGCCGTCCAAGAAGTCGCTGTACCAGCTGCAGGCCGAGCGGCTGGCGCGCCTGCAGGAACTGGCCGGCGAGGTGACGGGCCGCGCCGGCGGCACCGTCACCTGGTACATCATGGCCAGCGAGGCCACCAAACAGCCCACACTCGAGTACTTCGAAAACAACGACTTCTTCGGCCTCGACAAGAAGGACTTGGTGTTCTTCGAGCAGGGCACACTGCCGTGTTTCACATTCGACGGCAAGATCATCCTGAAGTCGCCTAGCAAGATCGCGCACGCGCCTGACGGCAACGGCGGTCTGTACCGGGCGCTGAAGCGTGAGAACATCCTGCAGGACATGCGCGGGCGCGGCATCAAGTACCTGCACGTCTACTGCGTGGACAACATCCTGGTGAAGATGGCCGACCCCGTTTTCATGGGCTACTGCATCTCGCGTGGCGCCGACTGCGGTGCAAAGGTGAGCGCCGCCTTAGTCTCTGATTCCCCACTGTGCAAGCTGTGTCCTGTGTGCACCACATAGGCTCTGATGGCGCCCTGCAGCGCTGCCCTGGGCTCCACCTCTCTTGGGGGGGGGGAGCCAGCCCCCCCCCCTGGCCAGTCCGGGGCTGTCCGGACTAGGGACTGAGCAGGACCGGTGTGTTCGGAGCAAGCTTTCCCCGGAGGGCGTGTAGCGTAACTTCGAACTCAGCGGAGGACTCATCGGACCACTTTTACCACAAACTCTGTAAGGCCAAGGTCGCCGCCCTCGAGGTTAGCCACTCTCGTTGTCCGAGCAAGGTGAAGGTCTGGCGTAATTGGGCGCAGGGACGCCCCACGGACGGCCGCGGGCCGTGCTCGGTCCGCTGCTCGGAGTCTGGGTGGGGCCGCCGCGCTGTGTCGGCCGTCGGACTCCCCTCCCCCCCCCGCCCCGCCCTGTCCGACCGGCCATCTCACCGCCCGCCGGCGTTACACACCTGACCTTGACCGGAGCTGCTGCACCGCAGGAGCGGGCGGGGTAGCGGGCACACCCAGCGGACGCCCACCTCAGTAACTAAACCAGAACTATATCCCAGTCGGCGCGAGATAAGGGGTCAAATGTTAGCGATAGGTATAGCAACGCGCACAATGCCATGAAAACGGTTTTGATATACCAACTTCTACGGAAAAGAACACAACCTTTCTTTTTCACAGCTTCCTTGACCCTTGGCATTGTCCACTCGAATCAACTGTGGCGCTGTTCCTCCGGCGTCCACCTGCGCGTGCGTCGTCAGCTCGTCAGATCTCGCACCCCGATATACCGTTTGCGTGCCACACGTGCAGCCGCATCGTAAATGCCGGGAGACGAGGTTTATCGAGCGTGCGTCAGTCCACGTCGGCAAGGAACGCTATCATCACCTGACCGTGCGAATACGACTCGCTGTGACGCCACGAGCGATACACGTGCGTTCCCGATTTATTGCGGGCCTATCCAGCTAATCGCCGCGAAAATCTCGAGTCCGCGCGCCGATCAGATGACGCGTCACGAGTGCGGTTAGCGGCCGTGTGACGCGTCACGACTGCCCTCGGATGGCGGCCGTATGACGCGTCACGACTGACCCCGGATAGCGGCCGTGTGACGCGCGTGGACCGCTGAATGAGGGAGGGCGGGGCCGCAGAAGAGCGAATCGTCTCTGGTACTGGATATTGGCTTGTCATAAAACGCGGTGGCCATGACAAGTACCAGGAGCAAAGGCAACGAGTACGGGCGGAAAATTGGCACATTCGCAGACAGCCGTAAGTCATTTTCAGCTTCTTTGTTTCACTTACGTTCGATGAGGGCGTAAGATTTTAGCGATACGAGCCTCGCAAAGTCCGCCTTGCGTCAACACATTGCACAAATTCCACCTTTCACAACCACCTCCAGGAAGGCGTGGCCCCCATTGTCACCGTTATCAGTCCGTGAATGTCGCGTGATGCACAATGGCTCCAATGGGTGGGGTCAGAACTGAGACGGACTAGTTCCACTCTCCACCCCGTGCCAGCCGCCTCCTGCCGTGTGCGCCCCGCCGTGTGTGACGCCCCCTCCCCTCCCCTCAGGTGGTGGAGAAGGCGTTCCCGGAGGAGCCGGTGGGCGTGGTCTGCCAGGTGGACGGCCACTACCAGGTGGTCGAGTACTCGGAGATCACGCTGAAGACGGCGCAGAAGCGCAACGCCGACGGCCGCCTCACCTTCGGCACGGGCAACATCGCCAACCACTTCTTCACGGTGGACTTCCTGGACCTGGTGGTGAACGAGCGCGAGGCGGCGCTGCTCCACCACGTGGCCAAAAAGAAGATCCCCTACGTGGACGACGACGGCGTCACCCGCAAGCCCGAGAAGCCCAACGGCATCAAGATGGAGAAGTTCGTCTTTGACGTCTTCCAGGTGGCCAAGTAAGTGTAGCCTGGTGTTCTGTGCCTGAGGACAGCGTCCCAGACGGCACATGTCGTCCTTGCCTGCGAGGAATGTGGATCACGGGAAAATTAACGGGTCGCCGCCTTCACGCGGGCACCATCCGCCTGCGACAGGGGCGCCGCTTATCGCTGAGGATGACCCGTTTGATTATTGAACCTTCGCTGGTGGCCAATATTGTGAATGGGTGTCAGCAGGCTGAAACATGCCAGGGCCAAACTGTAATACGTAAGAGGCATGAACTTCATACGATGTACGAGACCTTGGGCGCGATCGGACGCGCATGTGATCCGACAGTGACTCGTCACCGGGTCCGCCCTCGAACTTCGGTCACTGGGCGGCCGCTTGATTGTTGTTACATCCGGAGGGCCCGTCGTTCCGTTTATGTTATGTGGTCCAACACAGGGTAGGGTTGTATGAACCAAGACCATCAGTCAACTTCGCAATTCCGTGTCGTGCGGCAACCAATGCCGTCCCTCCGCCACAATTGCCTGCCCGTGCTGACTCGCCGCCCGCGCCGCCGGCAGCAACTTCGCCGTGTGGGAGGTGCCGCGGGAGGAGGAGTTCTCGCCGCTGAAGAACGCCGACGGCGCCGAGAAGGACACGCCGACCACGGCGCGGCTGGCGCTCTGCTCGCTCCACCAGCGCTACGTGCTCGCCGCCGGCGGACAGTTCGTCACCGAGAACGGAGAGCCCCTCCCACTGATGCCCAGGTGAGCGGCCCGGCCGACCTCCGCGGTCCACCCGCCCCTGCCCACCCGGGCGGCACTGGTGTCATCGGCGCCCAACTGCCCGCTCTCTGCCGCCTTGATATTGTTCAGACGTGCGTTTTGCCTGCCGCGTTTTTCAGTGGCAAGTGTACGAGTATACTTATGCGTCTTTGCGCGGTAAATCCGTCCCCGAGAGTATCGCTGAGGCAGCCGTCAGCGCTGCCCGCCAGTGTACTTACATACCTACCTACTATGTGGCCGGTGTCTGTGTTGATGGTCGCAGTACACCCAGATCCCCGGTCGACCGCTGGTGACTACCTTCTGACACCAGCCCGACCACTGCTGACACCAGCCCGTCATCTGTCCACAGCCCGGCCGCCGTCGACGGAGAGGAGGCCAACAACAACGAGGCGTGAGTACCGCAACCGGCCCCTCCCACTGCGCCCATCCACACTAGAGTTCGGATACACTTCTCCCACCCCGCACAGACATACACTCCTCCCACCCCGCACAGACATACACTCCTCCCACCCCCGCGAGGCCAGAGTTCAGTGATACGCCAATCACCTCACTGCTCTCACCCCCCCCCCATTTCCGGGTACTGGTCTCGCGTCCCTCAGCCGCCCCTATCTACCTCCCACCTATCGCCAATCTCCACCTCCGTCTGCCGCATCACAAACTCGAGTACGGGATGACGGCGGCAGCCCCGCCCTGCCCCCTCGGCGGCTCCATCCCCACCCTGGCGGGCGGACGTGCCGACGGGACCGATACGGCGGCAGCAATCCACCGAGTGAAGTCAGGCCGAGCCGAACATCTATCCCCGCAGCCCGTCCAATTCAGAGCGCAACTACAATCGCTAATCGCAACAAGGCATGCATCACACGCTTCTGTCATCCTACTGCGATTGTTTTTTTTTTTGTAGATTCCGAGTTTTTAATTTGTCTAGTCTCTCATGGTTACCCCCGGTGTTAGGAGTGTTTATCCAAAGTCAAACACTAGCCTCGGACTGACTCGCAGTCTGCACCGCCCCTGCCGCTGCACTGACCTGACCCGGCTGCCCAATCCCGGCTGACCCCCTCCCCTCGTGCCGTTCACAGCCAGAAGGCGTGGCTGCAGCGCGAGCAGCCGCTGCTCTGCGAAATCTCGCCGCTCGTCTCCTACGCCGGAGAGGGCCTCGAGCCGCTCGTCAGTGGAAAGAAGTTCCTGCCGCCGCTGCTGCTCAACGAGCGGCCGGCGCCGACCTCAAACGGCCACTGAGGTCGGCAGGGCCGCCGCGCGCCAGTACAAACTGCCAGCCAGCCCGGCCCGCTCCGCCGGCGGCCCCCGGCGCTCGGGCCGCGCTCCATTCCGGCGCGACGGGATCGGGCCGCTGCGGCCCACGGCGGCGCTCCGCTCAGCTGGCGCCAGCTGGGCCCCAAGTGCCTTCAGTCATCCTCTGCTCCTGTGGGGAATCCCGCGTACTGGCAGCGTGGGAGCGCGGTACAGATATTGTGATAAACGCGTACGCACGGGTCGTAGTAGGATCCCGAGTTGATTATTTTTATACGTGGTCGCTAGGCAGTAGGCGCACAGGGTGGCTTGTGCAATATCATGTGATGTCATTAAGCCGGCTCCGGCCGCGGCGTCCTGCGGGCCACAGCGGTACAATGGGCGACTGCGTGGCCGCATAGTGACGTAGCGCGGGCCGGCGCGTGGAAACGAAGGCGACGGCTAGTTTTATAGCTTATTTTAGGTGGTGCTTTGGCTTGCGCAGCCGGTTATCCGTGCGCGCAAGGTGGTAATTCCAGGCGAATTTTATGCCTCCTGGCCGATATTTTGACAACTGCCGAAGTGACGTGATCATTATATATCTGAGCGGTGTTTACGCCCTCCTGAACGATAAAGCATATTGTTGGATGAGCGAATCATGATGTGTTAGTCCAATCGGTATATTCTATTTTTACAATATGGCACGTCTCCACTCATCTGGGGTTCGATGTCGGTGATGTCTTCTTTTCGTCTTTAAGCATGCGACTCTCTCGTGTCCTTTTTACTGTGCACATAGTCGATAGAATACACCAGCTGCCACGATACCCCGTCTTGTTGCGTGCGTCTCTGTCCGGCGCTCACACACGCCGGCGGGAAGTAGAAGTCATATATTTTTTCTCGAGCATCAGAAACATCATTTAAATAGGCCGAACACCGACTACGCGGCGGCGGCCCGCCGCCAGGGGAGCAGGTACTGGGGTCGCCTTCGAGTTACGGCGGCCGACGCCGCCACAGCCGACTACGCTAAAAGGAATGACCGGCAACGAGCACAGGCGCGCGCGGGCGCGCGGCGCAGCTAATACTAGCGTACAACAGACGACCGGAGTCGCGACGGGACGCCCACCCGCGGCTCACTGTCGCTCTCTTCGCCAACGACCGGTCGCGCCCCGCTGGGCTCAAAACAACGCGCTCACTCGCTCACAGTCCGCGAAAAAGCGCACACTCGGTGACCGGAGTGCCCCTCCCTCGGCCTCCGCCAGTCACTGTGTGGAAGTGTGGGCGCGGGCGAGGGGAGGGAGGGGGGGGGGGGGCGCCGTGCCCGGCCCCACTCACCGCCACCGAGCCGACGTCAACACAGCCCGTCGGTCGCCCCGGCCGGCCTGTACAACAGTACGAAAATATTCTAACAGCGTCTATCTCCTCACTCTTCATACTCGAAATCCTGAAACGGAAAGGGGAGCGCGTTAGTGAGCACCCGCCGTGCCCCCGCGCGCCGCCGAGCGCGGCCGAGCGGGGGCGTCAGGCCGGACGGACGTGCACAGTACAGTCGGCGGTATCATGACCATCCGGTCAGACCACGGCAGAGGCCGGGCGCAGGGGAAATGGCGCAGCGCCGCACCGATTGCCGAGAACGAGCACCGGAAGGCGGCGGGGGAGCTGCACAGTGCACAGACGCGGCGCCCACCAATCGGGCGCGGCCTTGGCCACATGATTCAATGATCAGGGCAGTTAGGTCAGCGGTCATATGGGAGACTGGGAGCATCCGAGAGGGACCGGGAACAAAGGGTGTTGGGCGGGGCACGGGGCACAAATGGCGGCCTAGAAAGAGGATCACAGGAGAGATGAACAAAAAGGTTAGAGGGTGAGATAACTAACAGGAATGAGAGAAGTGAGTGAGGGGGTGGGGGTTCAGTCGGTCAGGGTGTAAGGTAGACAGTTGACGAGGTTACAGGCAGCAGGTCCCAGCGCAGTGTTACGGACGCCCGATTAGCAAATGGGCATAGTACGCCGGGCAACAGCTAAAAGGTGTCAGGTAAAGGGGTGCCAGCCCTCTGCAGTCAGGGGTCCCACCTGTCAAGGACAACTGCTGAGGTGACAGCAGTCAGGCCGGGCGGCAGCAGTCAGGGGCGGCAGTCAGGGGCGGCAGCCAGGGGCGGCGGCAGTCAGGGGCGGCATTCAGGGGCGGCAGTCAGGGGCAGCAGGAGGTTAGGGGCGGCAGCGGTCAGGGATGGCAGCGGTCAGGGGCGGCAGCAGTCAGGGGCCGCAGCGCAGTCAGGGGCGGCAGCAGTCGGAGGCGGCAGTCAGGGGCGGCAGCAGTCAGGGATAGCAGAAGTCGGGGGCGGCAGCGGTCAGGGACGGCATTCAGGGGCGGCGGCAGTCGGAGGCGGCGACAGTCAGGGGCGGCAGCAGTCAGGGGCGGCAGTCGGGGGCGGCAGCAGTCAGGGGCGGCAGCAGCAGTCAGGGGCGGCGGTAACAGTCAGGGGCGGCGGCAGTCAGGGTGCGGCAGACCAGAGAGCCCGCCGCCGGCGGCCGTCCGTACCTGGCTGATGCGCGGTCGGATGGGACGGGCGCGGTGCTCGGCAGGCAGCACACACTGGCGGCACTGCCAGGCGTCCACGAGGCCGGCCGCGCTGGCGCAGCGACGGTGGTACATGCTCGGACACGACTGGCACACGGCCAGCTCGTTACGCCGCGAGGAGGGCAGGTCGCAGTACATGCACACGGCGCCCACCTGCTGCACCTGCCGCGGCCACGGCGGGGGGGGGGGTGTCAGGGGACGGCAGGGGCCACGGCGGGGGCGGGTGGGGGGGGGGGGCGTCAGGGGACGGCAGGAGCCTTGTCACTAACAGCTTGTCACCTGAAAAGGAGATATGTAACAGTCGGGTTTCCGGCGGACGAGTGTGTGTCCAACTGGGCCGTCCGTTCGTGCCACCCCGTCAACTGGGGTCAGGGTCAGGGTCCCTCCCCATCAGCCGCCGGGAAAGCCAAGCCTTCTGCCGGTCACCCGACTGCCCGGCGCGGCCACTGTTGAGATCAACAACATGAACGTTGCCTTAACGGTGCCGGGGCGGGGCGGTGTGTGGAGACTGATGGCGACGCAGAGGGTCGGATACACAGCGGCAGTGTCAGATACACAGCGGGGGGGGGGGTCAGATACGACAGCGGTAAGCCGGCCAGATACACAGCGGAAGGGCCAGACCTACGACCACTGTGGCCACCGAGGCCGATTCACGCCAGAGCCGCAGATAGCACACAACTACTGACTGTCAAAACTCAGTCCCGCTGGCGCCGTGCTCACCAGTTCTATTTTGCTGGGCGACGGTTTGGCCGGCCGCTGGGGGCTCGGGTGCCGCCGGGCGCGCCGCTCGCCGTCGCTAGCCTCCATGTCGCTCTCACTGCGCTCGGCGTACCGTTTGCGCGGCTGTCTGCGGCAGCGGCCGCCGTGCTGCTGGCGGAGCGAGGGCCGGCGCCGCGCGCGCCGGCCGCCCGGCTCCGCCTCCTCCTCGTCCGAGCTGAGCTGACGGATCAGCCGCTCCTCCTCCGACTCGGTGTCGGCGGTGACCACACTGCGCCGGCGCCGGCCGGCCGACCGGGACGGCGCCGGCACCTCGTCCTGCTCAGCGACCAGCGGCCGCGGCCGGCGCTGCGGCGCGCGCTTCCGCCCGGAGCGACCGTCCTCGGGCGGACTGGAGCCGTCCTCCGCCGCCGGTCCGCCGTCCTCCGCCGCCGGTCCGCCGTCCTCCGCCGCCGGGCCACCGTCCTCCGCCGCCGGCGCACCGTCCTCCGTCTGATCGGCCGCCTCCTCCTCTGCGTCCTCCTCCTCGTCTTCTGCCTCCTCCTCCTCCTCCTCTCCCTCGCCACCGTCCTCCTCCTCCTCCTCTTCATCCTCCTGCTCCTCCTCCTCTGCCTCCTCCTCCTCGTCCTCTGCCTGCTCACCGTCGGACAAGCTGGCCCTGGCCTGGCGCAGCAGCGCAGACGGCAGCGGCGGCTTGGGGCCGACCGGCCGGCCGCGCACGCGCTTCCTGGGCGGTGCCTTGCAGTCCATGCACTCCCATCCGGGCCTGGCGGCAGGACGGCGATCAGACCGCGTTACACACTACTCAGTCGGGCACCGAGAGGGGTGCCGAACAATACCAAACGCTGACATCACACAGCGCACCAAACACAACCACAAAATGACAAAACCATGGGTTCTGGGGTCCCACGACTCCTACACGATGAAATGTGCGCTTATATGCGGAAGTGGCAGCTACAGTAATAGCGTAGGACCCGATGATGGCCGGAGCAGCCCACATCAGCCGGAAATTTACACAAAGCAGCTCACATCAGACGCATATTTACACAGAGTAGCTCACATCAGACGGATATTTACACAGACCAGCCCACATCAGACGGATATTTACACAAAGCAGCTCACATCAGACGGAACAATTACACGAAGCAGCCCAAATCATACGGACATTGACAAGGAGCAGCTTAGTGCTCACGTCAACAAGAAATTTACACAGAACAGCCCACAGCAGACAGATATTTACACAGAACAACGCGCATCAGGCGGACATTTACATAAAACAGCTAACATCAGATGGGTATTTACACGGAGCAGCTCGCAGACGGAGCAATTACACAGAGAGCAGCTCGCAGACGGAGAAATTACACAGAGAGCAGCTCGCAGACGAAGTAATTACACGGGGCGGCTCACATCAGACGGATATTTACACGGAGCAGCTCACAGACGGAGCAATTACACGGGGCAGCTCACCGGACGCGGAGCAGCATGGGCGGCTCGTGGCACGTCTTGTGGAACGCGGCCGGACACTTGGTGCAGAAAATCATGTCCTCCTGGTCCGCTGAGGCGCAGACGCGGCACTCCTCCTCTTTCGGGGGAGGCGCCTCCTCCTCCCCCTCCCCGTCCTCCTCCTGCGGAGCGAGGGAGGACAGTCGGTGCGGCGCAGAGGACAGGGTAGTGGCTCAATTGACACCACAACTGACCACCGGTGGGCCACACAGCGTCCAACTCGGTGTTTACTACATGCCAGCCGTCTGCCTGCACCCCCATTTACGAGTTTTATGCCTGAAGATTTGACCGAAACAACACGCGAATTTTCATCTGCCAATGCCCGCAACTGGCACAGCTTCCCGACGGCAGGAGGATTCACCGCCCCCCCCCCCCCCCCCCCCCCCACCAGCGGGCACGCCGGCTTACAGGAGGCCCACGCGGGCTGCCCGGCGGCACGGGCGCCAGCAGGGACGGCCGACCTACCTCGTAGAGCGGCTCGTCGTCGACGTATCTGCGGGCGCGCTGTCGGCGGCCGTGGCGCGGCGTCGGCGGCACCGGCCGGCAGCCGTAGCACTGCCACTCGGCGCCGGGCACCTCGAGCAGCGCCGGCCGCAGGCAGTTGCAGTGGTAGAGCTGCTTACAGACGGCGCACAGCGCCACCGCGCCCTCGCCACGCCGCCGGCACACGCGGCATTTCTGGGGAGCAGCGGCCGGCCGGCCCGGTCAGCGGCGGCACAGAGAGCCGAGCGGTCAGACGCAGAGAACACCAGCGCCAGGGTCATCACAAACATACACTCATCCAATGACTTAACCCGCGCCCCGTAGGCCTATCAGCGGACTCTGCCACTCGTATAAAATGCGCATCGATTCGATGTAGCTCGTCACAGGGAGTCTAATCGTGGTCTTTGTTTTGCGCTACGTGGTCTGGAATTGCTTAAAATTGAGTTTAAAGTTTGACGTAATCAATATTGAAGTTTTTTTCGCCATAGCTTGGCCAAAAAAGAGGCACCGATCTCAAATTCAGCATGCGTATGAAAGAAGGTA